TTATTTTATTATTTCCCTTCTACGTGACTTTACCGAAAGAACCAAGAAGATGAATCCCTGCAGTCACGAAAGCTTTAAATCGAAATGTAGGTGTTAAGATGTTCAAACACCAAATGGATACCTTGTATGCATGTTCACCACGAGTACTGTGTGTGTGGTTAATGCAGGAACTTGATTCCTTGCAGAAGGTTTATCTTTTGGCGTTTGAACATCTTAACACCTCCCGTTTTATTGCCGGAAAGGGTTAAAATCTACTTGTATTTGTCATGCTTTGATACTGGCAAAAAGGTCCCATCATGTTTACAGGTTGCTCGGGATGCCCCTTTTCTTCTCTGCATCGATCCGGATACTCCGACCGTGTGCGTTGACTCGCAACGCGTTTGTTGTCAACTCCGTCGAGCAACCAGCAGACGTTGAGGGATCATCTCTAAAACTCACTGTGGCTTCAGCTTAACAGACAAATTAATACAACCCAAGAGGCTTGGATCTTGGAAATAACAAACTGGAATCGTGAGTGATACCCGAATGCGCGTTCGGATGTTGTGTAACTCAGCCACACTCGCGCCACATGGTGTCCTGTGTGCCGTGTTGTTACAGATGCTAAGTTGCGTGCCTCGTGACAGGTACATTACTACTGAGTGTGCCCGTGAACTGACGATATTCACACAAACGTAGGCACTTTTTGTAGAAAAAAAAACAACTAATCCCTGAACGCATCATCACCGTCAAAGTCGTCGTTATCGTCTACCTATCGAGTAGTGCCCTGCGGCGGTTTTGCCTAAGAAGGATTATCCTACGCACATAGATTAGCACAGGGCTGTTTAGATTTGGCATGTGTTCAGGTGGGGGGGGGGGGGGACAATCTGCTACTGTAGTTTAGTAATTGTGACAAATTATCCAAATTTCTCTTGCGCACGATAGCGCGGTCTTCAATAAATTTGCCGTCGTGTATTTTGCACGTGCTGGAGGGGGGGGAGGGGCATCGGTTGGCCATGTCGTGTGCTGGTTTGGTACTGTCGCTGCTACGGTGCACTATTTAGTACGGCCAACAACACCGTGGAGCTGACCGTCTGCGTTTGATTCCTGGTCACGGCCATCGTCAGCGGCGAGTGGTGCCCGCTGAGCCCGTTTCCGGCCACTCCCGAAACCATCACCGATACGCATTGAGCGGCGTGGTGGAGTAACAACTAAAAAAAACTATTATTTTAAAATTGTATTTGACCAGGTAAGGCCCATTGAGATGTATAGCTCTTTTTCAGAAACGACCTGGCCACACACGATATCTCAACCAAGTAGCTTATCGCGTGGAAATTGATAATAGGCAAACAATCTGATGTTGATTCTAAACGTGGAGGAGGAAAAACCGAAGGACCCGGAGAAAAATCCACACGACCAGGGGGAGAGAGACACGAAAACTAAAAACATACAGCAGGCGTCAGCGTAGGGATGGAACCCACGACCCTCCTGTATACCAGACGAGAGAGTTAACATCTCGCCGCCGAGTAGATGGGTCACAGAGTCCGATGGGTTAAAGGGGATGATGGTAAAACCCGCCACTGCTCAGAGTGAACACGGCATGCACGCAGGCCGAAAAAGGGAGCGTCAGCTTTTGTTGTTGTTTTTGGTGAATGTATGCAACATTCTAATATGACGCGTGCAGGTCCAGTCAGATTTTACGAGACCTTCCCTTTTACCTTCTCTCCTTTCTCTCTCGCCCCCCCCACCACCACCGCCGCACCAACCCCCACTTCTCCCCCTCTCCCTCCCCCACCCCGCACAGCCCCCCCCCCACCTCTCCCCATCGCTACACTTTGGTTTATTTTGCTCCGAGATCGCTCGCCCATTCCGTCATGTCGCAAGCAACGCACGCGGCCTTTGCAATTTAATCAAGGGAGCGAGAGATTACGGTGGATGCGCATTATTTTCACCTTCGCGCCGCGCCGCGCCATCCGTCTTAGTCGCTCCTGATTGCATCCGAGGAGCCGCTATCAGCTCGGTGTCAGCGCGCCAAGCCTGCCCGTATGTGAGCGCGCTCGGCTCGCAGATGGAAATAACAAAAATATAATTTGCGGGTGGGAGGTTGCTTGGGCTTGGCGGGTGTCGGCGGTGAATGGGGGGGGGGGTTGGCAAGTCGGGGGTTTTGTGGCGACGTGTGGCGCAAAGAAATAAATAAAAACGCGCGCGCAAACGACTGCCGGCGAATAATAATAAAAAAAAATACGTAGAAAAATTATGCCGGAGAAAGAAAAAAATCACGCACGGCGATAAATCTTTCGTGATTGTGGGGCGCTCCTGTGGAAATTGCGAAAAGGCTGTAATGATGCCCATGATATGGAATTGAGTGCGAGCGTGTTGCGAGGGTTTTGATTATTTCGGTATTTTTCAACCGTTACTGCAGCGGGATCAAAATCCCCGCGTAAAACGCGGTCCCGATCTCGGCCGCGACTTGATTTGGTTAACCGCGATAAATATCCACGATTGTCTGCCGTCCCTGTGCGCGTGCCGGCCCAGGGCAAAGCGATGACTCGGGGCTACATTGTAAAGTGCAGTCACATTCACCGTGGCCTTTTGTACGTAACGTACGCCTCCTCCTTCTTTATCCAACCTACACCAATTCGAGTAATATCAATCTGCCGGGAGAGTAATGAAACACGCGGCCCGGAGTATTGACACGTTGTCAGCGGAATCGCTGAACTAAATGGAGGTGGCCCCCGACGGGAATATTGAATATCGCTAAACGTGTATATTTTTATTTTATTCCGAATTCTGGCGACATGTCAATGACGCGGCATCTTGCCGCACGGACAAATGAAGCAACGCGTCGCTTGCACTGCATATGACAGCGTTCGGCAAATTCGACGATTTTTTTGTGTTAGCAAACACTATTCTATCACCCATGAGTTTTTTTTAATGTACATAAAATAAAATATATTTGTACCTATCCTGGGCCCCTCTTTAAGCCACACTAACAGTCACGGTGAAGTATGGTCAAACAGCTCCCAAGGCTTAGCTGGTGTGGGCAGGCATTGATGCAACGATGGATTGGCAAACGATTGTACATTATTCATATTATTTGCTTTTCTACGTATTGATGAGAAACTAAATTAGTAAAAAATTAAATGCGTTCAATATCATAAAAGAAATCCGCTCTCCAAAATTATATTTTCTTTCCTTTTTAAAGAAGGCGTAAGGGGACCCTGGACAGATGATTGGTTAGTTGTCATTGCTTAAGAGCGACACCTATTGATGCTTGGCTGCATTACAAATATAGTTTGACTTTGATATCACCGCCATTAAATCGCGATCGTGGTTCGGTAAAACCGCTTGAAGCTGGACTCGAGCCGGGAGGAATTGAGCGCGTGTCAGAAAGGTTACCCCGGAAAACAAAAGGAAAAATGTTCAAAACAGCTACCAAAAAAGATCCAACCGTGACATTGTTCACGGTCCAATTAGGCTGTGCATTTCAAGTCTTATTAATCTGTAAAGATGTAATTAATTGTTGTTGCGTCATTAGGTGTTACTTAAATGCAAGTGTCCGGGGATAATTATATGTACATGTAAGGTATTTAGCAATTAGAGAATTATTTACAGTATGCCAGGAGTCCCCCCACAAGCAAGATCGCCTCTCTCCCCAATCAGTCCAGCTTTCAACCAACACCATACGATTATGGACATATAGCCTTTAAACGACGTTAATTTTCTCGTCATTCCACTCATAACGCGAGAGATTAACAAAATCAGCCGTGGCGAGATGATGCCTCTTGAGATATAAAAACAACAGATTCCAAACAACGGTCTTGTTTTTCCTGGAAACACAACGAATATCTCAACAGTATCGAAATAAATTGTAACCGCGTGCAAATTCATTATCGTGGGTGGGGCAGGGTAATTATTATTATTGTTGTTGTTATCGTTACGCAACTCACAACAAAAACTCCGGGAAGACTTAAAGAGATTCCCCAAGACAGCGGCTGCCTCGAACAGAGGACGCGACTGGGAAAACCAGCACAGGTGGCTGGTCGTTGAAGGCCGCATAGGATGCTTTGCAGAATCTAAGTGCCGCATCGAGTAAACACTGTTAGCCGTAAAAACAACAACAACAACAGGACGTTACCCACATACAACGACGCTGGCTACACGCGCCCAGTGTCCTTGGCTGTTCGTACTCCCACACAGCCGCGCTTATTCCAGGGATCACAGAAATAGGAAAGGCACCGGGGGGGGGGGGGGGGGGCGCGGGGGGGGGGGGCGCGGGGGGGGGGGGGGCGCGGGGGACGTCGCTTCGCTTTGACAGCGGCACAGCGGGAAAACTTTGCCGTTCCGTCTGACCTATTTTTTTGGGGGGGAGGGGGGGCACCTGGGGGTGGCACCGCTGGTAAATGATTCAGCCGTGGGAAGGGAGTGTGTGGGGGGGGGAAGTGTGGGGGCGAGCGGAGGATGGTGTAGCGCGGGTGATAGCGGTGGAATGCAGTGGGAGTTGTGAAAGGGGTGGAATTCTTCTTCCTTCCGTTTCTTTCCCGTGTAAGGGAGTGCGATCTGCTTCGTGCAGTCCAAACCATTGCGGACGGATGTTGCATCATGGGGGCTGCTTTTTGGGCGATGGCACTCGAAGCAAGAGTCTCGAGGCACTTTTGGAACCTCCGCTGCGAGGGAAACCAATCGACCGCCCGGGCTGTAATTTTTTTTTTTTAAGCTGCAAAAACAAAACAAATATAACTTGGTAATTATTTTTCCTCTTTCGAATATATTCGTGGCAAATTTCATCGTTCTGGTCCTTCTTGAGCACCGTGACAATTTATATGAGTCGCACACTCAACCACAATCATACATACAAAGACAACAAACAAAGATCCCCAGTGTAGCCTTAAGAGGCTGTTGGGGCAAGTGCTGCTAGCGAGCGCCTATGAAGACCAACACGGCACACGAGGGTGTGGGTGGCCAGCACCGCGCCCGCCAGCCTTTATCTCTCGAGTGGCGATGTTCACACACTGCACCGGGTACTCATTTAAGGCTGAGTCGACCTAAGGGATGCCCAGCACTGGTTTAGATCATCGTCACTGGTGTTGGCTGTGAGTGAGACTCGAACTCGGATGGCCAGGTTCGTATCTATGCATTCTGACACACACACAGACAATATACATATACCTCCACACATCCCTCTGGGTGTTCCACTCTAAATATATGAAGGCTTTCCATGAGTATTTTTTTTAAGTTGGTTGCAGTGGAGGCTAATTGACTGCTGTCCACGAGTACTCTGTGGTGTTTGGGGCCCTCAGCTCGCAAGGGCATCACCACCCATTTGGCTGCCACACAAATGTGTTAAAACAGCGTAGGCACCCCCACCCCCCTAAGATGTTGAACTTCATTCGCGCTGTACGGAGCCAATCGGAGGTGCGGTGGAAGGACAACAAACTAGACGCAACAACAATCAGTTCTAAAGTTTTCATTCTGGATGTAAAAATGCATCGCTCCAAGTGGCTTCTTAATATCGGAAGGTTAACAAAGATAACAAGTCCACCGCTGCAATCGACGTCCGGGGGAATGCATGCATGCTGACATCAAAGCGTCTGATTTTGTAACTTAAATTTTCTTTAAGACTTTATTGCTTTTAACATTACCGCATATGTCTAAGATTGAAATTTTGGCCTACATTTTTGTACGGATAGGTTTTTGTTCGAAAATGTATTAGTGTTCTACAATATGCATAGTCGGGTTTTTTTTGTAATTTTCTCAATTCGATTTTGCTGTTGGATCATAACATACGTGGAGAGTTTTGATTTAAAGCTTTCGTGACTGCAGTAATTCATATTCTTAGCTCTTTCTTAGCTCTTTCAACGTGACTTTACCGAAAGAGCTAAGAATATAAATATACGTGGAGAGTTTATTTTACCCGGTAAGAACGTGAGCCTGCATAAGATCTATGTCAAGATCGACCAGGTCAAGATGTCCAGAAAATGTTAATATAAATATAGTTTTACGACTATCCTACTGACATCTGCCAAGCCTCCACGGAGGCTACCAAATGGCTTAATATCCTCTATATCCACATATATTCCTAACTTCACCTTGCCATACAAAAATAGAAGCAGAAAGGAGGGGGGGGGGGGGGCGGACAGGTATGGCAATAGCTGATGATCATAATGATTGATAATTTATAATGATGATGGCCTCATACAAGCGATGTTGTTCAGCATTTAAATTTTGTCGGCACATGGGGAAGGCAGACACAGCGGACTTTTTACCCGGCGTGGTGAAGTGTAGTCCAACAACCTCTACGACCAGCTCGGCACGGGAAGGCCTTCATCCAGCAGTGGAGCGATATTTTGGCGAATCATCGAACAAACACGGCCACCGCATCGTGCGTTCTCAGATGCGCTTCTGCGGCCGCCTGGAACGTTCTTCCTTCCGATGTTAGGAAGCCACTGAGAGTTGTGTGCACTTTGAAATCTGAATTGAAAACGAAGTTCTTCATAACTGCCCATTTTCTGTTTAGTTTGTTGTCCTTCCCACGTACCTCCGATGTGGACGGTTGGCTACGTACGGCGTGAAAGAAGTTCAAAATGTACACGTTTAAAGACACAGCATTAAGACGACGACTGAGAATGGTGGTGACCTTGATGATGATGATGCTGACAATTTTGGCAATGTAAGGCCCATGTTGTTTCAGAAAATAAAAGCGAAATGCCCTTTTCCGTGTCCCCACATATCGACGCAGTGTGATATTTATTTAGTTAAAATCAGCTTCATGGTTTTCCAGTCCCACCATTGTACAGCAGCATTTGTTTGGGCAAGCAATTGCTGCTTGAGCAAACATGAGCAGACTGTTTCTCAATACATAAATACAGATTCGATTCTCGTTTTTGCTACACGCATCATGCGTTTGCGTACCACATGACTTCACGCATTTATAACGATGAAAGCGTAACGTATTTGTGTTGGTGTGACTTTAATATCGGGACAATGTTTGAACGTGGTAATACAGAATAAACAAAAACGCTTGTGTCAACCATTTCAGCGACTTATTTAAGAGTTTAAACACCGTAGATACCTAGAAAAACACTCATTGTTTGTGGCAGCACCAAGTAGTTACAGACGCGTGTAATGATGTTGCCATGATGATCTGCATCTGTTGTAGCTATTTTTTAATAGCATATTTCATTTATGAGCGGTGTTCTCTTTTTTGCAAACCCTGTAATGCATCTTCGCTGTATTGTCTAGCCTATCTGTAATGGACTGCAACCTTATCGCATCGCCAGGATAATGCAGCAAAGGGCGCATTGTATATCATGTGCGCGTCCTGGTAAATATTTAAACTATATCAATGAATGAATACATAAAACCTACAAACGAGATGTACTTGCATATGGGTATGCACTGGCTAAAAAAAGGTACTTTACAGCGCCACTGATTATGCAATTGTGTAGGCAGTATGTGGCGCGTATCTAACACATATGTAGGCTGCTGCGAGCGAGTGACCAATGTAAATTCTGAGTTGCGTTCGAGGAGAGTTCAATACATCTCGTTAATATCGGCGGCCTTCGCCGAGTGAACACGTTGTATATGCCCAGCCGTTTTGTCAATCCACTGCTGGATGAGGGCCACCCCACGCTGTGAGGATCATGCGAGGTACTTTGACCATACCTCACCACGCTGGTCTGTGCGGGTTTGTGAAGTTGGGGGAACGTGGCGTTGGCGGAAAATAAGTACCGTATTGTACAGTGGAATAGTTTGATGTTTTTGCACTGCCCTCTGTTGTCCACGACAAAGTCCCGCAATCCATAGCACCTGGTATGCATGGTGGTCAATGATCCAATCACTAGCCATGCTCAAGCCTGATTAGCTTCCAAGATCGGATGAGATCATGTGCACTGCAGGTGGGGTTTGTAATTGGCATAACGTGAATGGGAGACTGGTGTAATTTATCACGGTTGTTTCCTGAAGGGCGAGAAAGTTGACATTCATCACGAATGCAGTTGAGTCAGAGGTATGCTCAGCGGTTGATTGGTTTTACTCATCAGGTGTAGCCGGTGGGAGCTCACCTGCGATTAACCGCACGTATAATTGAGTACTCTGTAGCATTTTGGAACCTAAGAGACCATTTTACATAGCTGCGGGTAGCCAGCCAGGTGCATTTTTAAAATTATTACTTTCAAGATCATACAACGATGCAAGGCACGCCCCAGATAGAGATTTGGTGGCTGTCTTTTGGACCTCTGAAATCCGCTGCGGCGTTGTGACGTGGCGGGTACCTCTGATCGCTATTGCAGATAGGCAATTTGCCCTTCTGAAGAGGACCTTTGAAATCAAGTTGTGCCGTTTCACAAACCCCCCACCCCTTACCCCTGGTGCCCAGCTGTTGTGGAGTCGCCCCACGTCTTCGGAGGACCGAACACAAAGTAGGGCCTCTGCCTATTGTTCTCCGAACTTTATTAGTTGTGTTGTTATTATTATTGCTGCTGCTGTCTATTTAGGCCACCCGTGCCCCCCCTCTCCTACTCCCCTCGAAATGATTTACGACGAAAGGAGAGAGGAACGGGGCGGACCGACTACACGGGGTCCGCCTAAAGTTCCTACATGGTTTTACGTCCTGTGCTGACGATTTTAAACTTTGTTGTTCCCCCATCGTCGGTGAACCGAGTAATTTGCCTCGCGTGGAGTACGAAGCTAAAGCCAATAGAAAGTGGGCAAAGCCAGCTGCTCCTCACGAGTAACATCGATTTGTGTGCGTTTATGATGCACGATACAACAGTACATGGTTGCCATGTACTGTTGTATTATACTTGTGCTGTGGGCATCGTATAGTCAAACACAGCGTCCGTGTATGTGAATCTTAATAGAAGTGCATCACCATTGCCGTGTGTGACAAGAATTGTCTCTGAAACTGATATCACAGAAATACGTTGGAGATTCCTTCAAGTGAACGCTTATTCGCACGTGGGGTACTGCACTTTGCCACATGACTGCTATAAAATATAACATCACACGACAGTACTACTAACATTCTTTCTATTTTACTTTTAGAACTGGAAGATTATGCCAAATTGTGTCAAAAAGGTAATTTAACTTGAATGGGTTTTTTTGTGTGTGTAGTCATCTTATGACCGAGCTGAGACCATCAACTCACACTCGTTGAGCACCAGTTTTAATCATGTGCGGCTGAGACAAAGACTCCAATCCAAAATCTCAGTGGCGATGGCTCGGCGCTCTTCCCTAAAAGCCACCAAACTAGTTCACACGGTGGGAGGGTTTTGGAGCAATCAACAAAGCTCCCCGGCAGTAGACGAGTTAACCTCTTGCCCACAACACAACTAAAGATGATGTCAATCGCATATGTACGTGCTAATCCATAGGCGAGCAATTAATTTGAGCTAAGACTGCAGACCGCCTTCAGAAGATCTCAGGATTGGGTCGGAAACTCAATAAAGCGCGCAGGGGGTGGGGGGGAACTGACGCGTGGCTGATCCAGCCCTTCGACGTCCCTGCATTCCAACACAGTCCTGGGCACAACGCTGAGACATCCCCACACCGCGCCTCGCTCTCAGGGGGACACTGGGACACACGGCTGCAAATTCCAGAGGTGGCAAATTGTTTTCCTTCCGCGACCACCGGGTCTCTTAGGGAAACAAAATTGATTGAATGTAAATTAAATCCTCATCGGTAAAGGTGACGGTGCATCCCCTGCATTTTTTGTTTGTTGCGCCGAAGAGCCCCTCCACTCGTGAGAGCCGCAGAGGGCTTCTCTTAAAGGAGATTTTGGTATCTTCGTCCACGCCGGCCAAACATCTTGGAATGGCTGGAAATACCCACACTTTACTCCACCGCACGCGACCTGCACATCGACTAACTGCAGCCGGACCATTTATACTGCGGGGACTTGGCAAGCAACTTGATCAGTGTTTCAACTTTAATATAATATGAAATATACATACATAATTATTCATTATATTAGCAATTATTCAGTCATGAAACATCTCAATTGTATATTTCTTTCATTTCTTTGTTATTTCTCTTATTCCCTCTCCCATTTATTGTTCTTGCTTTTTCTGTTCTTTGCGAGATCACAACTAGGAACTCGTATTGTTCTGCTTGTTTTTTTTTTCTGGTTATCTAGACGTCGTGTCGTCCTGGTGCTGTGCTCTGCTGTATTTACTGTTGTCGAAAATATTAATGGAATCGCTTTGTTTATTTCTTTGAGGTCTACGTCTCTACGACAGCCGTCTAAATATTTCAGGGAGGGGGCGGGAGCATCTATTACAGAGATGCATAAGAGAGACGCAGGAGATATATGCAATAGATGCATGAAATATATTCAAGAAAGAGATGCAGGAAAGAGATGCAGGATATATATGCAGGGGATGCAGGAGAGATTTGCAGAGGGTGCATGAGATAGATGCATGAGATAGATGCATGAGATAGATGCATGAGATAGATGCATCAGATAGATGCATGAGAGATGCATGAGAGATGCGCAGGAGATGAATGAGAGATGCAGGGGATACAGAAGATGTCATCAGGATGGCACGGAGAGTGGCACCACCTACCTATCCCTGGGTGCGTGGCGTGGCCGCTGACGCCCCTCGCAATCCTCACATCGGCAAGGCATCAGTCGGCATGTCTCGGCGTAACGATCGCTCCGTCCGCGAAGATTAATTAGCGAGCCTCGCCCGAGCGGACGGTATAAGCGTCTCTCGTTAATAAGGCGTGATTTATTTGTCTTTGTTTATCATTATTTGTTTATTTATTTTACTATCACCCTTCCAGCCGGCGCTCGGACGGCTGGGCCCCGCTCAACGTTTTCAGAGGAAGGGAGCGCTGGGGCGTTCCAAATTGTTTCCACCGTGAGACGAAGTCGCCCAATATCTTTTGTTTGGAAAGCAACATCGATTGCGTTTATGAATGACATGGCATCAAAACAAATGGGAACGTTTAGCCTACGTGAAGAAAAATTATTGTTGCTTTTTGGTTAGAATGTTACTACATACGTGAAGAGTCTCAACAGCGGCCTGACAATCCGATGCCATTTACAACCGCCATTGAATCATGCCAGGTGCAGCTGTCGGTGCATATCCATGGGAACTGTAGGCTAAAGGTCTTCATAGCAGCTCTTTGCCTCCTCCCAGGAGCTTGATTGTATTATTTTCATCATGTTTACCAGCAGCACACTGTAAATATGAAAGTGTTTTGGTCAGGTTTTGCTCAAATCAATATGTTTCGCGTTGTTTGAAGAGGGTAATTTCAATTGTATCCTTTTTGCCCCGTCGTCCTTTATAAATACACTGCTGGATGAAGGCCTCCCCATGCCATGCTGGACGTGTGAGTTGCTTGACCAATCACCACCACGCTGGTCTGTGCAGATTGGCGAGCGGGGGTGGGAGGGGACCGGTTCAGTTGTCACTCGACACTGATGTTAGCCGTGCGAGGAATCGTACTCACATGACTGGTTTCAGCGTGCAGTGCGCTCCCCACTGCATTTACCTCCTTCCTCCATTCATTTTGGTGTCGCATATTTCATATTGACCGTTGTTTATTAAAGAAAAAAGTGTCACCGAGTTTCGGAAATAGATAAGTGATGTTTGGCCAATTCCTTGGAGTATTTGAGCACGTGGTGGGAGGAAAATCGAACACACTCAGAGATAACCTATTTGTATGGAGAGAAAACACTGAAACATCTGTACGAAAAAACAAAGGTCAGCTACCTTCGTGCTGGGCTGCCCCTTGCTGGTGACCACAAAAGCCTTGTATGTTGTCTCCTGAACGTGACGAAATATCATTTACCGACGCACCGACTCTTGCCTCCTAGAGGCACATGCGACAAGTATTAATAAACCCCGGCCACCTATGTCCGTTATAGGGCCCCTCCTGGCACAAGCGCTATTATGGCACAATCGCCGATAAGCACGGTTGGTTACGTACATACATACGTAACACGACTGCCCCACATTTGGCGAATAGCACTTGTATTGTTGATTGCAGAGTTGTGGCACTGCGTGGTGAACCTCTGACCTGAGTTAGGTTCCTGGCCACGACTAACAACAGTGGCTCGTGATATCTGAACTTTTCATGGGCCTCCTCTTTAATCAGGCCGCACGGTAAAGTACGGTCAAACAACCCCATGACCAATGCAGCATGGTGGAGGGCCTTCATCCAGCATTGAGTTGACATTATTATTGTTATATTCACAGTCGGATTCAATGCAGTAGAGGAAAAGGAGTGACCTCCCATCAGAACGCCTGCACGCATCTCGTCTTAATTTCCTGAGTGTTGCCAATGTTGACAAAGGGCTTAAAATAAAATAAAAAAATCATTACAAGATTGTATCTATTAAAATTCGAATTTTATTTCAGGATTGTGTCTATTTTCTTACAAATGTACGAATCGCAAAGTTGTAGATATTATGACATTATAAATGATTGCAATTATGTTTACGGCCGTCTGGAACGCTCTTTCTTTTGATATCAGGAAGCCACTGGAGCTATGCACTTTTAAATGTAATGTTTAAAGTAATAAAACCTCAAAGAAAAATTAAGTTTCAAAATCAGGCGCTGTGATGTCAGCATGGATGCATTACCACAGACGTTGATTGCAGCCGCGGACTTGCTAACTTTTTTTACCTTCCGATATTAGGAAGCGACTTGGAGTGATGCACTTTCAAATCAGCTAGATTGAAAACGAATTTATTTATAACCGCTTTTTTGTATTTAGTTTGTTGTCCTTCCTCCGCACCTCCGATCAGCACGCTTGGCTACGTACGTTCAACATACCGTGCATACATTGCCCAAACCCGAAACATCTGTGAAGTTTCACGTAAAAAGCTGTCCACCGTGGGGGTACACACAGGTGCATTTACGTCCACCGCCCCCTCCACCCGTCCCGCTTCCCACCTTCCCCGACCAAACACAGCGAACCCGCCACGAACTAGACCCCTTGAGCAATTGCATTAACGTTATGGGGGCGCACGTCATCCCACACAGCCGGGCAGTGTTCACAACAAGCGCGCCCACTTCGGCAGCTTAACAAACAAAAAAACCCTCTGACGGCGAGCACTCAAAAGCAAATTAGCTTTTAAGCGTATTACTGCATTACATTACTATGTTTTTTTTTTTCCCCTTTCGACGTTCGGGAAAACATTCGAGAGCCCAAACAAACCGCCACCACACAAGCTGTAATTCCCTCGCATCAAAACTCGGGGCGCGAGATATTTCCCTTGCCAATGTTGACAGTAAACTCCGAGGCCCTCATTACAAGAATTACCAGAAGTGTTTGGTTTTTTGAAGCTAGCCTCAGCCAAAGCAGGCATGCGGGCCACATATATAATTCAGAGGGCTCAAAAAACGGCTCGGCCCCTAATAAATGGCACAAGTCAGCATAAAAGGTGCTTTCTTTTGGCAGCAAAAAA